TGCTGAGATCCCACAAAGGTCCTTAAATCCCATCCATGGGCAGGGACACCTTCCACTGGCCCAGGTTGCTCCAAGCCCCTCCATTCTGGCCTTGGACCCTTGCAGGGCTGGGGAGTGCACAGCCTCTCTGGGCACCCTGAGCCACTTTATATCTGGATTTATTATTTATTCCATTGTTTTGGTCAATGACACAGAGAAGTTACCCTGAAATCCTCTGTCTCTGAAGAGATCTTTGGAGCTACCTCCAGAAATTAATACAGAGTCTTGGTAACTCAGCTCATGTTTGGATTTGCTTTTTTCTTCAACGGTTTTGAACTCTTATACCCTCAAAATCAAATTAAAAACTCCACTGATAACAAAGAGCTCTTGATTCTCAGAGTTCCTGACCAAGTTCATGTGGGTGGATGAGCTCAGAAACTCTGGGCTGTGGGGTGGAAATCCCTTCCCAAGGCTGGTTCTGTCAGGTGGAGCTGAAATGAGGGAAAGCCACTGCAGGAAAAACTGGGGTGCAGATGCAGAGCAGGGGGATTGTCCTGTTAATCCATCTCTCTCATGGTGCCATTTGTAAATGAGAGTTGCCCTCAAGGGGGAGATGAAAGTTGAATTTGTACATATTTGCAGTGCAATATGAGCTCCTCTTTTGAAAACCAACATAGTTGTGGGCTGCTTTTTAGACTTTTATTAACTAAAGCTCTCAATTTCTGTGTTCAGAAATCACTGGAGAAAATTGGTTAATTAAACAAATGACATTACACTGGTGGAAATTTGGTGGTTCCAGGGACAGCTGGTGGAGACTTAGGAACAGATGCACTGTTAATAGCACTTAAATTTTCAGCTGTCTCCATTTCAGACAGACACACTTTTGAAAGACATAAATTTTTATTACTAAACATCAGAAATACCTCTAATGCAGAGACAGGTTTTGTGATAAAATCCATGTATTGTCCTGCTCAGAAGGCTTGGCCCTCAGTGCATTTGAAAATGGGTTTGGAAGCTTCACAGTGAAGTGCTGGTCCTGATGGGGATAATTTCTTGTATCTTTAAATAATCAGGTTTGTCTCTCCTGTTTTATTTGTTTCAAAAAAACTGTCCCTAAAATCTACTTTTCTTAAAGAATAAATATTTGTGGGTTTGGTTTCAGAGGAAGTTCCACTGTGCAAGTTTGACATCTTGGCCCCCCTGGCTCTACTCTCTCTATGATGCTGTAAGTTCACCCTTAAATCAAATAACCTGCAGAGGGCTTTATAGTTGTAAAATCTAAATATGGGATAATAGAAAAGCTTTTATTTTATTGGCTCATAATTTCCATTTTAAAGCCTTTTATATTCAGTGTAGTGTGAAAAGATCAGGAAGGGCTTCCCCCACTCTGGTTGTTCCTCCTTCCTAGAGCAAATGTGTGAGAGGGATACAGAGGTTCTGGTTCCTTCTGTGTTGTCTCAGAGCAAAACCAGTTAAAACATGCAGGTAAAAAATGATTCTTTAATTATTCTTTAATTAAAAGCTACTGTCCACTTAGGGAAAAGAGCTTACTCTACATTTTGCTTCCCTTTTGTTTTTTTCCTAAGAAGAAAGCAGCAATACCTGTGTATTTAAATTAGGCTTTTCTTCCAACAAAAGGAAACCTTGATGGAGAGAGTCAAGAGGCAGCTCCACGAGTGGGATGAAAACCTCAAAGATGAATCTCTGCCATCAAACCCAGTAGGTACGAGCTTTTCTGAACCCACAGTTTCAATTTTAATTCCTTAAGACACCACAGCTTAGATAATTACCTGTGGTAGAATAAATACAAACAGTTGGATTTATTTCTCTGTTAATTCTAACAGAGCTGCTGCTTTCTCATTTCTAGATTTTTCTTACAGAGTTGCTGCCTGCCTGCCCATTGATGATGCTCTGCGTATCCAGCTGCTCAAAATAGGCAGTGCTGTGCAGAGGCTGCGCTGTGAGCTGGACATCATGAACAAAGTGAGTCATTCTGCTTTGTTTGCCATCAAACTGCCAAAAACCAGGAGTGACTGTCACAATCCCTTCCAGAAATGATGGAAAGCCCAGCCAACCCTTCCTGAGGATGAGTTTGGGTGTTCTGTTATTTCTTCAAAAGTTTGCTCGAAAGGAAAATCATGTCTTAGTGCTGGGTTATGTTTGGCAGCAAGAAAAAACATATGATATATAGAATAAATAATCTAACTTCTATTCTATTCTATTCTATTCTATTCTATTCTATTCTATTCTATTCTATTCTATTCTATTCACATAATTATATTTGCTTTTGTTAAAAGTGTGGCACAGCACGTTTTTCGCCAAGAGATGGTGCTGGAAGTCCAGTGTTGTTAACAGCCATCACAGCCCCACACTGACACCACTATCCAGCATCATTTTGCCATGGAAACTTGTGGATTTTGTAGCAAAATCTTTGTAGTATTGAGCATAAATCTAAAGATTGGGCTAAACAGATTATTTTTACAAAAGACATATTTATTTCTTAGGCAATTCCTTGTTAAGATGTTCAGAAACTTGTTTCCCTTCCCTTCTTTCCATTGCCATGGCCATGTAGTGTTTTAAATTTTCTATTTTTGTGTATTACAGTTCTTGGTAATAATTTATATTTTTTGAATTACAGTATTGTATTTATCTAATGGATACATAGCAGTGGAAGTTTTGCCTGTTTGCCTAAAAAGTAGTGTCATTAAATTCTTGCCTGTTTCTGGGGAAAAGTGAACCTGAGGGTCATTTTAATAGTGATCCTCTTCCCAAATCCATGCAGCAGAAATTTAAAGAAAGGAGACAGAAAACATCTCTTCCAGATTCTGAGACAAAATGGGCAGGTGTTTGCCTGAGGCTGTAGTCAGACTAAATTTCACTTGTCTTTTCTGAGTGGAAACTCTGAAAACAGCCTGATACTCAAGTTCTGCTGAGAACTGTTCATGTTCAGTAATTATGTCTGTTCCATAAATTCCAAAGAGATAGGAAAACTTAAACTAACCTCATAAATTCAAGTTAAAGTTGCTTTTTAGCCTATACCCAAAAGGTGTTTTCCTCATCATTCTCTTGAATTTTGGTCTGTAAATGTGTTTAGCTGTTCTGTGTTCGTGTCAGAATGGGGAGGGCATTATGGCTGTTTACAGTTTATTTAGCAGGATCAGTTTTATTATTGGGAATGACATCTGAACAAGCCAGGGCATCCTGAAGAACTCTGGATCAATTCCTCTGAAGGGAGCAGAGTGTGTGGTGTCACAGCTCAGGGGCCCAAAAGCACAAACTCCAGCTTTTAAGAGCACTGGCTCTGAGTGCAGCATTTTATTCCAAAATCCTGTGGCTCATTCTGGGGGAATTTCACAGGCATTACCCTTCAAAAGAAGTACAGGCAATGCATGTCCTGCAGATGAATGGGAGTGTTCTGCTGAGCTGATTGAAATGCTGCTCTCCTGGGCAGTGTCAGTGATGAATTGTTGAGTTCTGCTTTGTAGAAAATGTAGAAGATGGATTAATCTGTTATAATCTCCAGGAGAGAGATCAATATGTTTTACCTATTTTTGTGAGGAAATTAAACCCATTGATCTAGAGTAGCCTCAAATTTAAGAAAGACTTAATGATTGCATTTGTCTCATCTGCCTTTTCTGTGCTGTACTGCAGAAGAGCAAAGGTTGTTTTTCTAAATTAGCCTTTAGAGACCTTAAAAGGTTGGCTCATTTATTATATTTGTGGAGTCAGATCCAATTCTCTGTGTGTGAATCTTTTTGTGAGGAGATGATACGAAAATTATTATGTCTTTTAGATAATAATTAATGTTTAAATAAGTGAAATGCATAGGAAAAATACCCACATCAGTGACTGCTGAACAAAACAATTGGTCCAAGCTGTGTTGTGATGGAAAGGGAGAGACATTTTTTATGATTTCCCACTGCTGCCAAGCATCTGGAAATTAATGAAATTATCCTTTTGTTTGTCTTCCCCAGTGCACATCTCTGTGTTGTAAACAATGCCAGGACACAGAAATAACTACCAAGAATGAAATATTCAGGTGAGTTTATTACTCTTCATCTTGGGCAGCTCCTAGGTCAGAAACACGGGCCCAGCAAAGCAGATTAAGCTGGGATAAGTCTTAAAACTGCTGGGTTTGCCACAGCTCCAATAAAATTTAAGTAAATATTTATAGAGAGTTTATATTTCAGCTTTTTTAATAAAAAGTTTGGGAATCTCAGCGTTTCCAGGTATATTGGAAAAGAAATTGGTGTTGTGCCACACCCCCAGCACCTCACTCTGAGCAATTTGAAATATAAATGTGTCACATGAAGACTTTTTCATCCTGGTATTTCTGAATAAAGATTTAGATAAAATTTATTTTTCAGGACTTTATTTATGTGTCAACAGGCACAAGTGCCAATTAAAATGCACTAATTAGGGGCTATAAACAGGCTCTCAGTATGCTGGCATGCAGGGAAGTTCCTCTTTAAGCCAATAAACGTTGTGATCCCTTTTTTCTCTGAAGAGCTGAAGGTTATTCCTGATAACTGGCCCCATTCTTTCTTTGCCCTGTACAATATCTCCCATGTTTAACAACGATTACATTTCCCAATAATTGCTGCCTCTGTCAGCCTTGTCTCTGCTTTTCATCTTGATGAACTCCCAGCAGCCCAGCCCCTCTGATAATGGCAAGGTTAAAAGATGCTTTGGCTTAACAAAGACTCCCCACGGTTTTTCTTTATCAGTGTGATAAGGAGCTGATGGGGTAATTAAAAGCCATTTCTTATCTTTTAATCAAATAATGGATTGCAGACACCACAATTCCTGCTGTGTCAATATGATGAGCTTTTAGCAGAAGGTGTTGAGAAGTTAGTGCAATAAATGAACATTTGTGCTTGCTTTTAAAGTTACATTTTCCTTGCTTTTCTTGGAAGTGTTTAAAGGAACACACAGGATGAGTCTGTCGAGGACTTTTCTGCAATTCTAAGCAAATTTGAGCAATGATATTTTTTGGCATCTATTTTCTTTCAGTTTTTAATGCTGTAATTCAATACATGGGGTTTTTTTTTCCCTACAAAAAGTGGGGATTTTTTTTTGCTCTGTTGAAATATTTAAGCTTATTTGGATTTTTTTCTCTGTTTATATTTGTAATCGTTTGGGTTTTTTTTGGTGTTTTTTTTTTTTTTTTTGAATTTTTCCTTGCATTCTGACACAATTCCTTGTGTTGCAGCTTGTCCCTGTGTGGGCCCATGGCAGCCTATGTGAATCCCCACGGGTACATCCATGAAACCCTCACTGTTTATAAAGCCTCCAACCTGAGCCTCAGTGGACGCCCCTCCACAGAACACAGCTGGTTCCCTGGGTAAGAGCAGCAAGATTTGAACAGAAAATTCCCCAAATTGCCTCTTTCTGGGAGGGTGGAATAGTAAATATCGAGTTTTTTAGGTGCATTTCATCATTCCGCTCATGTGAAAAATAAAGAAGTAAATTTAGACTTATTCGAGATACAGAAGAAAATGGAAAAATCACATAAAATATTGCAGGATTTAATATTTTTAAATGGAGAAATACTAAGCTTTTAAAACATAGTCTAGAATCTAAACTGCTTAAACCAAGTTGTCTGAAAATTTCTTTGTGTGTAGTTTTGTTTAAAGTTCAACTATTTTCAGAATTGTTTTCACACAGCTTTAGTGCAAGTGAAAACCAGAATATATAAATACATTTCATCCACTGAAATACATTTTTATATCTAAAACCTGAATAAATGTTACATTAAATTAAAAACTAATAACATTTGTATTGATTTGATTATATTATATTTTAATAATAAATAATTAATAATGAGGCTGCCTCTCTGAGGCAATAACAGAATTAAGTGTTAAGATGTAAATAATAATAATTGCCTAATAATAACAGGTTTTGCATTTAGGATTTTTTTCCTGGAATTTCACAGAGAGCTGAGCAATGATTTGGAGGATGTCTGGCATTTCTATCAAATGTTTTCACATTCCCTAAAGAAAATTTGAGACTTTTAATATCTGGACTTAATATTGCTCATCCTTTTGTGTTTTCTCAGCTCTTCTATGATGGCTTTGAAATATTCATGTTCTACCTCATAAAACTGTTAGAGAAAATCTTTACTGCTGTGGGAGGTGCAGCAGTCCTGTTATTTCAAAAGCAGGGCAAAAATCACTTTCATTGCCATTAAATAATTTACTCTGAGAAGTTTTGTGACCCCTCTTCAGGGCTCTCAGCATTTCTGGGACAATAAAAAGCTTTGGTCACTTCCTCTCTTTGAAGAGGCAAGAGAGGCCTTTGAGGGTGGGAGGTTTGTGGGATTTTCTTCTTTTATTTTTTGGAGCTCTGTAGGGTTTTAAATGGGAACTGGGCACTGGATTCCTGAGGATTCTTTGGAAATGCAGCTGGGGATTGGTATCCAAATGTATTTTGGGGTTGTTACAAAAATCCAGCTGGGGATGGATACCCAAATCCAGCTGGGGATTGGTACCCAAATGCAGTTTGGGGTTGTTTAAAAAATTCAGGTAGGGATTAGTACCCAAATCCAGCTGGAGATTGGTTCCCAAATGTATTTTGGGGTTGTTACAAAAATCCAGCTGGGGATTTTGGTATCCAAACCCAGTTTGGGGATTGGTGCCCAAATCCAGCTGGGCTTTGGTACCCAAATCCACCTGGGATTGGTATCCAAATGCGTTTTGGGTTGTTACCCAAATTTAGCTGGGGATTGTCACCCAAACCGAGTTGGGGGTTGGTACCCAAATGCAGTTTGGGGTTGTTACCAAATCCAGCTGGGAATTGTCACCCAAACTCAGTTTGGGGATTGGGACCCAAATGGAGCTGGGGATTGGTACCCAAAGCCAGCTGGGGATTGTCACCCAAACTCAGTTGGGAGATTGGTACCCAAATGGAGCTGGGGATTGGTATCCAAATGCAATTTGGGGTTGTTACCCAAACCCACTTTGGGATTATCACCCAAACCATTCTGGGGATTGTCACCCAAGCCCAGCTGGGGATTATCACCAGACCCACTTTGGGGTTGTCACCAGACCCACTGTGGGGCTGTTCCCCACCCCCAGCTGGGGATTGTCACCAGACCCACTTTGGGGTTGTCACCCATGCCCACTGGGTGGGGTGGGGATTGTCACCAGACCCCCTTTGGGGTTGTCACCAGACCCACTGTGGGGCTGTCACCAGACCCCCTTTGGGGTTGTCACCAGGCCCACTCTGGGATTGTCACCAGACCCACTCTGGGATTGTCACCAGACACGCTGTGGGGTTGTCACCAGACCCACTCTGAGATTGTCACCAGACCCACTCTGGGGTTGTCACCAGACCCACTCTGGGGTTGTCACCCATGCCCAGTTTGGGATTGTCACCAGACCCACTCTGGGGTTGTCACCAGACCCACTCTGGGGCTGTCCCCCACGCCCAGCTGGGCCGTTCCTGCTGGAGCCTCTCCCTGCCCGTTTCCTGACCCCGCTCTCTGTGCCCGCAGCTACGCCTGGACCATCGCTCAGTGCCGCCTCTGCGGCAGCCACATGGGCTGGAAGTTCACGGCCACCAGGAAGGAGCTGTGTCCCCCCAGGTTCTGGGGGCTGACGCGCTCGGCGCTGCTGCCGCGCATGCCCGAGGACGCGGAGGACGCGGAGCGCGGCCGCTCGCCCCTGCTGTGCCTGTGAGAGCCCAGAGCCCTGCCCGGGGCTGCTCCTCCTCCTCTGCCCCAAACCATCCCCAGAACCAGCTCAGCCCTGCCCCGGGCTGCTCCTGCACAGGGCACACCAGGAGTGGGACACCGGGAAAGCTCTGATCGCCTGGACGCAGCTGGGACTGGACTTGTGGAGTTCCCACCTGCAGTGAAGGAAGGAAGGAGATGGAAACTAAAACCAAACTAAAATCCCAACGAGCAGAGTCTGATTGCTGCAGTATTGCCGGGATGGTAGATGGCAGTTAGCTGCTGTGGAGTGTTGGCCATAACACACTTACACGTGGTTTGCTGAGAATCCCTGTTGCTAACTCTCTGGAGTCCTTCAGGTTTGCTGCTTGTGCTGTTTCTCAGTTTTTGCTGAATAACCGTGGAAGAGAGAAGCAGCCTGAGCGTTTCTGAGTGCTGGGATGTGCAAAGCTGGGATTGCAGCTCCTGCCAGGATGGACCCCGTGGGGAAGTGTCTGTTCCTTACAAGTTGTCTCATCTGTTTAGTCCCTTTGACTTTAGAAGTCTTAAATTTTAAACTGTTGGTAAGAAGTGCACAGGTCAGTCCCAGAGGGTAAAACAGCATTGTCATGTTCTGCTCAGTGTGCTTCAGTCACTTCCCCCAATTATTCCTGGTGAATTTACCAGTGGAGGTGGCCAGGGGATTGGGAAGGACTCTAAACCACCCCACTGAGGTGATTTTAAAGTAATACTTGTTGTGACAAAGGGAAGGAAAAATCTCTTTTAATTATTTCATTGTAACTTTAAGATCATAAAGTAAAATTTCATGTTATCAACTTATAAAGAGCAAAAGTTTCCAAATAAAATAGGAATACAGGCAGTGCTTTTTTTGTGGGGAGGTTTCTTGGGTTTTGGTTTGGTTTTTGTTTTGTCTGTGCTCCACAAATTGGGTGCCAATCTGGGGCAGCTTTTGCCAGTGATTTATTTTTTTTTCCCTCACAGAATGCACTTTTTTGATGGCAATGGAGATTTTTTTTAGTGCTTGTGCACGTAAACACTTGTTTTTCTTGTGAAGCTTTTATCATTCACTCTTCATTTCTTGGCAGTGATGTTAAACTAGTCAAGTGTAAGACACGAGCCAGTGGCTGCTTGTTCTCTGTCAGGCTCCAGGCAGGTGCAGCAAGGCCGGATCATTCAGTGAGGGCCAAGGCCAAGCCTGGCAGTGTGGAAAAACCCCCCAAACCATGGACTTGCTGCTGGGCATTTGTCTTGCCAGGTATGTAGAGATTAATTGTGTGACTCAGGTTTAGTTCTTTGGAACTTTCTACCTCTGTGCTGCTTCTGTTCTTCTTAGACACCTTTAATGTTGTGCTCAGTTCCCTGTGCAGTGCCCTGACTTGGCAGTGAACTGTGGAAAGCAGAATTTTGCTGTGGTGTGTTCTTAAGTTTGTTAGTTTGCTCTCTCATTTTCTGTATTAAATGGTTTCTTCTTTTCTGAGAAGTGTGAGGAGTGATTGACTGAGCCTAAGGAGGAAACAACTTTCACTTTATAACAGAAACCAAGGGAGGAGCAGTTTCATTTCCATGGCAACCGAACTGACAGGGTCCTGGGAAAGGAAGAAACCATTTAATACAGAAAATGGGGGGAGCAAACTAACAAACTTAAGAACACACCACAGCAGAATTTGGGATGTGGCTCTGAGCAAACAGAGGGTGATGGTGGCTCATTGTCATCCAGAGAACATCCTGGATGTTGATAATGATTCATGATGAGCTTGGAAAGCCAGGCACTGGTGTGAGAGGGAGATTGGATGCTCTGTGTTAGTGAATCCACTGGAACCAGGCCTGGCTTTCCCTCACCCAGCACATCTGGGCTGTGTATTTGGGATAATTTATGTTTTCCCCTCAGAGTCCCTCCTGTCTGTTGTTCCTGTGGCCCTCAGTGGCACTTGGTGGTGACAGGAAGTTGTAGGGTGCTGCCAGCACCTTCTGCTGCCTTGGTGGGAGCACTCACTGGGGGCTGGGAAGGGAATTCCAAAAGGATTTTCTCAGCTGTCACTGAATTTTAAAGGTTCAGTTCTTTTGGCCGAGTCTTTTGGATTCTCAATTAAAAATGGCAATGTTTGAATCCAGAACAAGCATTTTATGGTGTTTTGTGTATATAGTCAAATGCAAACTAACATAATTGAGGTAAGTCAGGAGTAAATGAATGCCAATTAAATGTGATTGTTGATGATGCTGTTCCATGTGCTAAAGCTGTGCTGGGTCCATGGCACTTCCCAGGTTAACTCCTGTGCTGGTGAATCTGGGAGCTGTCAGAGCATCCAGCACTCCAGGCGTGGGCTGGGGATGGTTCCTTACACTGGTTCACATTTTCCATCCTTTTCTCTGTTTTGAAGAGAAAACTGTTGTGGGAATTAGGGAAAATTTGGAGCATCATTATGGAAAAATACAGACAGCAAGTGCCCAGAGAGCTAATCAGAGGAAAGCAGGTTTGGTGAATATTTACATGTACCCCATTGATTGGCTGAGGATTCCTGCAGGAATTAATTCATTAATGAATCCAGTGGGACTGAGGGGTCACAGGATTTCCAGCACAGACTCATTTCCAAGCCATCACTGCAGCATCACCAACACCCCCAGGCAGAGCTGTAACTTTGCAACTTTTCATTTATTTTAGGTTCATTTCGACAAATAGGTAGAACCACTTGTACACTGGGTCTGGAATATTTCAGATACTCATTTGTCTTTTATTAATTCTCTTTTTGGATGTGCTGCAGTTCATTTGTTCCTCTCTGTGTCACCTTTAATTGCTCTGTGCTCTGCTCCAGGGCTAGCCCAGGCTCTGCTTTAACTCTTCCTTCTCTCTGCCTTTTGGGACAACTTTTCTGACAAATCTTGTGGCTTGCAAATATTTGCAAAGAATAAAAATCAATTTGTTTCAAAACTCACCTGGTTTTGCTGATTGTCAAAGGGAAAAGGAAACATTTGGGTTTGTGATGAGTTTTTGGCTGCAAAAAGTAAAAGTTTCACTTCCAAGTCTGTGCTGGTTTCACTGGCCCAGGGCAGAGAAGATAAGGAATGACATGGGAGAGAGGGGAGGGTGTCAGGTAATTAAAACCCATTGTGAATGTCATTTAATTAGTCAAGTCATCTGTTGGAGAACTTTACTTGACCACGTGTGCATCAAACAATTTAAATAACCCATACTCTACAGAGGAGACTTTATTTAAACCCAGCATTTTTCCAGCTCCCAAGCTGGCACTGCTTGCCTAAAATATGTTTATATTTTTTATTTCATGCCTTTCATTTTCCTAGGGGTTATTTTTAGTGGAAGAAAAATGAAAAATTGAACAGAAATGCTCAATAGAGCAATGGGAAACCTCAGGCAGGGGCTGATGCTTGGAGGTGTTGGAACAGAGGTGCTCCCTGCACTCAATTCCAGCAGGGCTTGTGGAATAATCTGGTTTTGCTGTTTTGCAACAGGATCCTCTGTGTTATCACTGAGGGATGGAGGAAATGGGGCTCCCCCTGCTTTTACTGGCCAGCTTGGCCAAATAATCTCCAATTAAACCCATCAGTTTCTATTTACTAATAATTAAACTGGCTTTGAAATGATTGATTTAATAGTGCACTATGCACAGCCTCTATACTGTGTAGTAAATAATTCTGATAAAGTCTTTTCAGGCGAATCATTACCAGCATCCATTTAAATAAATCATTCCTTGCTGTTCATGTGCATGATTGGGGTTGTCATCCTTCATCCTGGGGCACAAAGTTGTGCTGAACAACCCTTCAGACATGAACCAGAGAGGAAATCTGGGAGCAGGATTGGATTCCAGCAAACAGCTGCAAATTCAATGGGAAGATCTCCTGCTGAACTTTATCCAAAGTCTCCATTTGGTCCATGCCAAGATCATAAATTTCAAGCTTTTCTCCTTAAAAATCCTCTTTCCAAAAGGAGCCTGACCCTGACAGCAGTGCTGGGTAAAAGTTCAGTGTTCATCATTTCCACCTGCACAGCCATTGCCCTAAAGCTGCCCTTTGGTGGAATCTCTTTTCCACTTTTGGTGGAATCTTGACAGGACTCTACAGCCCTGAGTTTTGTCACTCTCCCCCCTAAGATCTCAGTACTTCCAGAAATGACACAAAGGAGGCTTCAATTTAATCACCTCATTAAATTAAGCACCATCCTGTCCTTGTGGGATTTGCCTTCCTAACAAACAGCCTTTCCCTCTCCCCTTGCTGGCTCCCACAAATTCCCAGGCACCTTCAGGGTAATTTATTTAAAGGACCAGACATCCCAGGAAAATCACTTGTGTGAAAGCCCAAAATGCTGATTTTTCCCAGCACTGCTCCAGTGTTGCCATCTAGTGTTGCAAAATGATATCCAAGGAAAATGAAATCCAAAGGATTTTATTTGTTACCATGGTTCTGTAGGAAAACTTCAACCTGTAACAAGATTTGTGCACACAGAGCTGCTCCCAGAGATTTTAACAGCACACCAAAAACCCCAGGGACAGGAAGAGATCCATAGAGACCAGGAATAGCTCAGCTCCAAATCCCCAAATTCCCAAGGCAAGGAGCTGGAGCTCATGTTAATTAACATGAATAGTTTGTCTCACACCTGGAGTTGAAAATGCAATGTAGAACCTTCACCAGCCTGCTGTGGATTTAGTTTCCTCACTAATAAGTTACTGAAAATTCATGATAATGACTCAGCCAAGGCATTCTTTTAACTAAAACTAATTCTGGAATTCTGGAAAATAAAAACAGTCCTAGAAAACAGCCTGGTTGTCCATGGCAAGGCTGTTGGGAACTGCTGGCGTGACCATTTCCATCTGTTATCCAGCTTTAAGTACAAAAAGAGTTAAGGTAGAGCCCATTATTTCCTCACTTTCTCCTAGGCACATAAAAACCCCTCCATGATTTTATCTAGAGGATGATTCTGGGGAGATTTTGAGGGGTTTTTTTTTTGGATATAGAAAGTCAGAAGGAGAAAAATCTTTCTGTCACCTCTCATGCCCTAAGTCATGATAAAATAGTAAATACTCATCACTAAGAACAGCAGAGAGAGGTTGATTTGGCAAACCGTGTTTTGCGTTATTACAAAATGCAACCTCCCCTTGCAGAAGTCAGGGATCAGTAACGAAAATGTTAAATGTGACAGAGGCTGTGAGAGGCTCAGTTTCCTGGGAGCTCAGGGCACAAACAGCTCTGGTCATTATTCACTCTAGAGCTTCTTGAGGCAGCTCAGCAGTTCCTCCTTGTCCATGTGGTAGCCGCTCTTTTTCCACTCGTCCCGCAGCTGCTGCAGGGCTGTCCCAATCTCCTTCCCCGAGGACACCCCCATCTTCCTGAGGTCGTGGCCACTGACAGGGAACGAGGGCACAGCCCATTCCTGCATCTCCTTCAGCAGCTGCTCCTCCCCTTGGTACTTCAGCAGCTCAAAGAGCTTGGAGTTGGTGTTGGCTTCCCTAGACTGGGAGACAAAAAGGAAATTTCAGTGTGAAACAGCTCCAAGTGTGCTCAGCATTGTGTTATTCCCATTATCCTTGGCCAAGCAAGGCTCTCTCCTGCCTCACAGCAATTAAAACTGAGTTTTGCAGGCTCTGGGGGAGATCCTTGGAGACTCCTGAATCCAGGAAGGGAAGATCTCCTGCTAAACTTTATCCATAGTATCCATTTGGTCCATGCCAAGATCATAAATTTCAAGCTTTTCTCCTTAAAAATCCTCTTTCCAAAGGGAGCCCGACCCTGACAGCAGTGTTGGGTAAAAGTTCAGTGTTCATCATTTCCACCTGCACAGCCATTGCCCTAAAGCTGCCCTTGGGTGAAACCTTTAAAGGACTCTACAGCCCTGAGTTTTGTCACTCTCCCTCCTATCCATCACCTTTCCTGAGGCAGACAGGCCTGGCCTGGGCACTGCTCCTTGTCCTCAGGATCAGAATTCAGCTGGAAGTGACCTCACTGGGCTGTGGAAGAACATCCCAGCTTGCCTAAGGAACAGCACCCAAAATCACCCCCAAAAAAATCACCAAAAATCCCAAAATTCACCCAAAAATTGCCCCCAAAATACCCAAAGTCTCCCCAAAACTCACCCCCAAAAATCCCCAAAATCACCTAAAAAATCACCATAAAAATCACCCCAAAATTGTCCCCAAAATCACTCAAAATTGCCCCAAAGCCATCCAAAAAAATTGCCTCAAAATTACCTAAAAAATCGCCTCAAAATCACCATAAAAATCCCCAAAATCACTCCAAAAAATCACCATAAAAATCCCAAAAACCACCCATAAAATCACCCCAAAAATCACATAAAAGAATTGTCGAAAAATCTCCAAAATCACCGACAAATTCACCACAAAACCACCTAAAAATTGCCTTGGAAAGAACACCAGGAATTGCACTGATTTTCCATTCAGCATTCAGAGCTGAATTTGACAGAAAAAAGCCAAATTCTCCTTGAGGGGCAGCTCCTGTTTGATATTGCAGCAGGACAGCACAGCAAAGTGCCAGCCCAGGGAAGGCCACAAGGAAATAAATGTGACATTGTCCAACCTGACTGACTTTTAAATCATCCCAAAACCTGCTCCAGAGCCCAGGGTGCTCAGAACTGCTAAAACACAGCAGGTTTGGGTTTTAGGAATGTCTTGGAATGAATTCAGCCCCTGAGAAGCCCCAGTGGAGCAAAGTGAGCTCCACTCACATCCATCAGGAAGTCCTGGTATGGTCTGAGTGGTTCTGGCCCCGAGCCTTTGGTTAATTCCTGCCTGTGCTTCACCAAGAAAAGGCCAAGGTTCTTTTCTTCCTTGGAGATTTTCAGCCTCAGGTCCAGGTTTGTGACATCATCCTTCCCCTTGAACAAGGATGTCAGGACAGTCATGGGTTTTGGAGACAGGTTTTGGATGTTTTTACTGACTCTGGCAAATTCCTCTAAATTCCCACCAAGTGGCAGCCCTGAAAACAAACAAAAAGTGCAAAGAAGTGTGAGGAAGAAAAGTGGGTTTGATGTCAATTTGCCACAAAATTCTTTCTGTATAAGATACAGGAGTAGGGAATCAAACTTCATTTCACTTTACCTATGTACTGGGCAATATCCAGCTCATACATGAGCTGAACCAAATGATTGACATGGTTTCCAAGCAGAATTTTTTTCAGTTCCACCCAAATCCTTTCTCCTGATATTCCAGCCAAGCCTTTGGCATTTTCTTTAATTGCTTCCAGTGTAATAGGTTCATGATCTCCAGGTTTCTCTGCAATTCTTCCATAAAATCTGCCAAAAAAACCCCCTGGATGTTAGATTGGAAAACTTACAATTATTCTTATAATTAAAACAATTAAAAAGAATTCTTACAATTATACAACTTATTCCACTTACAATCATAAAATCATCTAGGTTGAAAAGGAAATATGACAACTACAACTCTTTTTACATCACTGGTATCTTTTTTGCATGTTTTGAAGCTTTATACAGTTTATTTATCAAGGAAAGGCAAAACCTCTTACCTGAAGTATCTCAGAATTCTTAAATAATCTTCTTGTATTCTCTCAGCTGCCTTGCCCACAAATCTGATTTTCTTGTTTTTCAAGTCTTCATAGCCATTAAAGAAATCATAGAGTGTCCCATCCAAACCTAGAAAAAAAAGAAAAATGAAATATCAATTTACAAATGTGGCTGACACAGTGAACCACTCTCATGTGGAAATGACAAGTTGTGTGATTTGAGCTGCTCTGTCAGATCATCTCCATATTTATACAGACTTTAACACAGACAGAATTCAGTGGCAAAACTCAACTCCAGTGCTTCATCTAGGTAAGTGTTTCTCAGATTTACCCAAGAACATGGAGTTGACAGTGAGGTCCCTCCTCTCAGCGTCCTTGTGCCAGTCCGTGGTGAACTCCACCTCCGCGTGCCGCCCGTCCGTCACCACGTCAATGCGCAGAGTGG